AGGCGGGCCTCCTCCTCTCCTTCGGCATCCTCATGTCCTGCCAGGTCGGCGGCCGCTGGGGCTCGTCGACGGGCGTGAACAACTTCGTCTTCGCGGGCTTCGGCATCCCGTTCGGCCTCACCTTCATCGTCATGTGCCAGGGCGCCGAGCTCATCACGGCCAACTACATGTTCTGCACCTTCGCCGTCCTCGCCGCCGAGCCCGAAGACCGCATGCGCCAGATCAAGGGCCTCCTCGGGAACTGGTTCGTCTGCTGGTGGGCGAACCTCGGCGGCGCCGTGCTCCACTTCGTCGTGTTCGCCTGGTCCTCGGGCCTCATGAAGACCGTCGCCGTCGACAACGACCCCTACTCGGACCCGACGGGCTCCCTCGAGAACCTCGAGAAGCTCTGGTACGAGTCGGCGGCGTCGTTCCGCGAGGACTTCAACGGCGACTTCTGCACGCGCGGCAACTGGGGCAACGCCAACGTCTGCAAGGTCATGAAGGTCTGCCGCGCCAAGTGCACGGCCGCGTTCACGACGTCCATCATCCGCGGCGCGGGCTGCAACTGGATGGTCTGCCTCGCGATCTGGCTCCAGATGATCGCGACGGAGCCCATCTCCAAGTTCATCATGATCTGGCTCCCGATCGAGCTCTTCATCTCCTCCGGCTTCGACCACCTCGTCGTCAACCAGTTCCTCATCCCCGCGGGCATCATGACCGGCGGCCACTACCTCGACAGCCGCTGCAACTGGGGCAACGCGTTCTGGTTCAACTGGGTCCCCGTCACCCTCGGCTCCATCATCGGCGCCTGGTTCCTCGTCTTCCCGTTCTGGCTCATCAACAAGGACGGCTGGTACGCGGGCCTCAAGCAGCGCGCCGCGATCACCGAGGCCGAGACCAAGTTCGTCGACGGCAAGGTCGAGGACGCCTGAGCGCGCTCCTCGCCAAGTGTCGTGTTGTACATAGCTACGTGCATCAAGCACGAGGCCCGGACCCAAAATCGCCGGCCGCGTCCCCCGCCTCTTCCGCGGTCCGACCTCTCGGGCCTCGGAGCTCCCGACCCCCCGCGCCGCCCCCGCGGTCCGTCCTTCGGAGGACCTCGCGCGCCGCGCCGTGTGTGTATGTGTAGTTACTACACTGTAGTAATGAGAATCCTTTTAGTAACCGGTCGTTACGCACGCGCGACGACGTGGTCGGGACCCGTCGGGACGCGTGCCGAGGCGGCAGGGCGCGGCGCATTGGCACCTTCACAGTTTGATGATGTTGTGCTGAGGGTCGGCGTCGAGCGCTCGTTCCCGTCCGCCGCGCGCGCCGCGCGCGCCGCCGCCGTCCTCCGCGAGCTCCTCGCGCGACGGCCGCGTCGACGCTCGCGAGGCTGAACAGGTCGACGCGCATCCGCATTTGCACCGATGACGGAGCCGTGCACGCACCCGCAGCGGCTCGGGTCGATGTGTTGCGTCTGCGGCGCCATCGTGGGTCCCGAGAAGAGCGACGCGACGGCGCGCGTCGCCGTGCGCGGCGCGGGGACGTCCAAGGCGAGCCTGCGCGTGACCGGCGCCGAGGCGTCGGTGCTGGCGGCGCAGCGGAGCCGGCAGCTCGAGGGCAAGCGGCAGCTGCAGCTCGTGCTGGACCTGGACCACACGCTCCTCGAGTGCTCGACGGACCCGCGCGCCGCGGCGCTCGCGGCCGCGCCCGGCTCGCGCGTGCGCGCGCTCGGCGCCGTCGCGGGCCGGCCGCACTGGGTGCGGCTCCGGCCGCGGCTCGAGGAGTTCTTCGCCGCCGTCGCGCCCCTCTACGAGCTCGCTATCTACACGCACGGCAGCCGCCAGTACGCGGAGGCCGTGCGGGCCGCGCTCGAGGCCGAGGTCCCGGGCCTGAGCTTCGGGGGTCGCGTCGTGAGCCGCGACTGCTGCCCGGACCTCCGCGGCGAGAAGTCGCTGGAGCGCCTCTTCCCCGGCGGCGCGGCCCGCGCGCTCATCCTCGACGACCGCCTCGACGTCTGGACGCGCGGCGAGGACCAGACGCCGCGCGTGCTCGTCGTCCAGCCCTACACGTACTTCGGCAAGGCGCTGGCCGACCCGGCCCACGCCGACGGCGACTCGCAGCTCTCCCACTCGGCGCGGGCCCTCGTCGCCGCGCACGCCGCCTTCTACGCCGGCGGCGGCGCATCGGGCGACGCCGTCGCGTGCCTCGACGCCGCGCGCGGCGCGGTCTTCGCGGGCTGCGTCTTCTCGTTCTCGCCGCCGGCGGACGCGTGGACGGCGCGCCTCGCGGAGCGCTACGGCGCCGCCCTCGCCGGGGCCGCGGCCGACGCGACGCACGTCGTCGCGACGAAAGCGCCGCCGGGCCACGGCGCGGACAACGTCGTCCACCTCGACTGGTTCTGGTACTGCGTCTGGCGCTGCCGCCGCGAACCGGACCGCAAGTACCGCCTCGCGCCCGACCCGGCGCCGCCGCCGCCGCCGCCCCGGCCGCCGAGCCCGGGGGGCGACGCCGGGCCCCGGAAGCGGCCGCGGCGCGAGTCCGCCGAGTCCGCGTCCCTGTCGGGCTCCGGCTCCGACTCCGACGACGCCGCGTGGGCCGACGACCTCGAGGCCGAGCTCGGCCTGTAGTACGCGGGGGTGTGTCGCACGGGCCTGGGCGTCGGGGCGCGCATCGCGTTCGGTGCTCCGAACTTCCGGGAATCGCCAAGAATGCAGCAACTTGCGCCTCGGTGGATTCAAGTTAACCCTTCCCTTTTCTTGCCGCCATTCATAATAGCTCGGGGCAGCT